TGGTGGGGTTGTTTGAGCTGACCCCCCCCCCCAATGACCCCGCCTGACCCCCCGGCCCAGCGAAGAAACCCTCGGACCCCCCCCCCTCCACCACACACCCCTCCTCCCCCCTGACGACCCGTCAGATGCCAGGAACTGATTCTATCTACTAGAGCTGGGCGAAGAGTCGATTCCAGAACCGATTCCCTCGATAAATACTACGGATGTAAAATGCCTTCTCCTTTTTACGTAAACCAACGGTTTTATCATTAAATTTTTCTTCTCTTTTTTAAGAATCTATTTTTGAAAAAAAAAAGTTGATGCTTCGTAGTGTTCCAAAATCAAGGTTATCCTAAATCCTGAAGACGTTCGGAGCCAACCAGGTAACCACCGAAAAAAAATCACATCTTTAGAAAACAAGTAACTGGGTTCGGAGTCGATTCCTACAATTCCTAGCTTTCAATAATCGGGAATTCCTCCGCCCAGCACTACCATCTACAGCCCGAGAGCTTGTGTCTGGGCTACTTGTGTCTGGGGTTCTTGTGTCTGGGGTTCTCTGTTAAGACCTTAATGGAGTTTTGCCCCAACAACGTTAGGGTTTTTTCCCCTTCTCTTTAGCGCGTGTTTTGGCTCCAGACTTAGAGAAGTTCTTCCTAGTATTCCTTGACGTTAGATTTGTTCCAGATAAGTTGGGGGGTTTTTTCTTCTCTCCCCACTGCTTTGTGAGCCCAGGTTTTATGTCTCTTTCTTATCTCTAGGTTCTGAGTCGAGGTCATGAGAGAGTATCTCGTTAGCTCTGGGGCTGTCAGGCTAGATTACAGTACAGGGGGCCCTAGTTCAAATCCTCAGCAGAGAATCTAGCCGGGGATTTTTTTGGGCGGAAGAGTTTTAGTCCCTGACCACCACACTGCCTCTGCCCTACCAGTGACTGGCGTCAGAACAAACTTCAGTCGTTCCGGTGTGTCCTGCTTGACAACATTATATATATATATATATATATAATATATATATAACGAAAGGAAATATAATAAACAATATCCCTATCCAGGCCACATGCACACAGTCACCAGTATGCCACCACAGATATGGATAATCCAACTTGAATTTAACAAAAACCAAAATAGAGACAGGCTGCACATTGGCAAAGACTCTTACTAAGCCTAAAAATCACTTCTGGCATTAGCTCATAATAATATTCCTTTTATCGTTCTCATCTGCTTCCTGGCGATATGTGGCCGTTATTGTATGAACCCGTGGTAGGTTCATCTCAGCAACAACTACAACAACAACAACAACAACAACAACAACAACAACAACAACAACAACAACAACAACAACAACAACAACAACAACAACAACAGCTACGATAACTGTGGTCCATTATCTATTGACGTAATTATTTGTCCATGTATTTTTTAGAAGCAACATTTACCGACATCATTACACGGAAAGATCAACTTTCACCTGACATGAAAAGCGGCAGATGGCGTCGATAGCCTAGTGGTTACGCTCTCGGACTCGCAACCGTAAGGTCATGGGTTCGAATCCCGTCAGGGGCCCGACGTTGTGTCCTTGGGAAAGGCACTTTGCACAAATTTTCCTCACTTCACCCAAGTGGGAATGGGTACCCGGCTATAGACAGTGAACGATCTTGTCAGTTTGATAATGTTTGAGCGCGTGAAATCCGCAGCTTGCAGTGTATGCTTCCGCAGAAGCCGAGAATGTGTCTGGGTGTTCTCAGAGGGTCTGCTGGGGTAATAATAGTTGTAAAGCGCATAGAGCATGCTCTTAAGCATGGATATGCGCTATATAAATGCAATTATTATTATTATTATTATTATTATTATTATTTAGTTTAATACCCATGTTTTACGCTCCCATTGAAACAAAATCGATCGTCTTGGGCAGTACTTGTCAACCTTTTAAAGCCAGCATCGACTTTTGCCATGTAGTAGAGACTCGAGAATATGTTCATACTGACCACCTAAATGTATTGCAAATCTGGGCATTAAATAGCGCCTGTCACTGCCAGGGTCATCCCCATAGCATTCTGAAACAAATCTCAGCTTCTTGGGAAGCATACAGTGCAAACAACCATTACACAGGCGCTAAAACACTCACATAACACAACGGGCACCGATGATGACATCTGTAGTATGATATCAATCTTTTCCACTCTTCAAATGTGTAAAGTTATTCCTGCAGAGATATGAGGAGGTGGACAGTAATACGAAATGAAAAAGATTATCTCTACGTGAAAGTATTTCGCAATTTCAATTAATATAACAGCTAGATCTCTATATATGGCATCAAATTTATGTAATATATAATCCGGGAAGTGAGCATTTCCTCCTTTGCTCACCCTCTTGCCTTTTCCCATGCAGTAATTAGCAACCGTTATCTGAGCAGGTCTGTGTGGTTGGCTCATTAGCGGAGCCCCCCCCCCCCCCCTCCTCTCCTCCCTGCTTCTCCCAGCACACAGCCTGATGGCCAGGTCTTCCCTGTGGTTCTGAGGATTACGTCAAACTTCGTAATACAAATCCGCTAAACAGATCGGCTGGTTTATTCATCGCGACGTGGTGTGCCCCCCAGGCAAAGCCTCATGGCTGCTGATTGAGCTGACGAAAGCAAGAATGTTTCTCAACGATCAGAGTGGTTGCAGATATTTGAGCCTGGGCTAGAAACAGCTTCTGTCTTGCAAACTTCTTTCGCGCGCTCATACGCCCTTATTGTGCAGTTACGAGCGCCGTAAAACTCTAACTAAACAGTCTTTTGAGGAGTCTTGAGACTTCATTTATTGTTTTGTAGATGGAAACGTTTGATTCTTTCAAATGTCAGCTGAAGTCATTCTGTTTTTTAATTAATAAGATTAATATTTGGAGTGATTATTTTTGTTTTGGTCAGTACACAACGTTTTATGTTACTGTTGTACGTTGTACTGTATTGTAAAGCGCTCAGAGCCTGTGTACTTTTATCGGGGTTGAGCGTTATATAAATGTCAGTTATTATTATTATTATTATTATTATTATTATTATTGACCAAATGAGGCCGTTGTGTGGGTGCGGTAGTCTGTATTCACGTCCCCGTTGAACGCTCTCTCTCTCTCTCTAGATCTGACAGCTTTCCATCCAACAGCAAATCGTTCTCGTGAGTCTAGTTTTATAGGCAGCTTTGGGGATCTTTTAGGTTGCGTCTGTGGATATAAATTCATGGTACTCCATTCTCTCTCCCAATCCCCCTTTCCCTCCCTTCCCCCTTTTTTCCAAGCACCACCCCCTCCCCCCCCCCCCCCATGAAAAAATGAAATAAAACAACAACAACAACAACAACAACAACAACAACAACAACAACAACAACAACAACAACAGCAGCAGCAGCAGCAACAACAGCAACGACGACAACAACAACAACAACAACAACAACAACAACAACAACAACAACAAGGAAAATAAAAACCACCCCCATTCTCCTACCCTTCCCCCGTAACTCATGATGTTAATCACACAATCACAACACAACAGTGACGAAAGCTCTCAGTCTTCCTCCATTACTGCCACTTCTTATCTCCCCTCCCTTTTGTACCTCTTGTTAGGGCCCCCAGTTACTCCACCCCTCTCACCCTCACACCGGCGTGAGCATGATTTGCGCGCTCACCTCGACAAATGTCAGTTTGGCCACTGGAAAACATTTTCTGACTCCCGGGCCAGGGAGAAAGACATACAGGTATTTTTATTTATTCTTCCACCTGGGCGGTTCGCGGGGGCCGGAAAATGTGAGCTTTAAAATACCCCACATCTAAATTTCCC